CACACACACATGCACACACACACATGCACACACACACACACACACATACACACACACACAAGACACACATACACATATATATTTTTTTTTAAATTTAATGGAAAAAAGAAACATTTTATAAATTTTTCGTCGTTGCCAAATTTCTCATAAATATACTTCACTTTTGCCCTTTTCTTTGCGACATTAAATTTCAAATGAAAAGCGATATTTTTAATTTTTCTGTTTTAACTTTTTTTTAGTTCTAAAATACATTGTCAGCAATACATTGTCAGCTTACTTCAAAATGCCAAAATGTCGATGTTATTAAACGTTTACTATTCCTACATCCGGAAACAATATCCTTGATTGGATATTTGAAATTTTGTTGAAAAGAAGAAATTAAAGAAGGCGAAGTGAAAGAATAAACTGTTGTTGTTCGATTCATAACAATTTTTTCCTACCAAATAAATGTATTCCAAGAACGAAAGAATAAGTGTAAAAGTTCTTGAAGGTATTTCGTATGTGAATGCCTTTTTTTTTCTTCCATTAATAATTTCGAGAACTAAAATTTCATCCAATAAATGCTCTAAACATATTACAATTACAATCGTTTTACTTCATATATTCAAAATATGCCGTTGTTATTTTATTAAAATTGATTATTATTTGTTAAACATACCAGGATTAATAGAAAGACAAATTGATTCTCAATTAAGTGAAAGAAAAAGAAAGAAAAAATTTTTGCATAATATTAGGTTAATAGACATTTACTACTGATCGCATAACTCATGAGAATGTACATAATATTAATCATCATAATTTATGTATCATATTCATAAGTACAACTGACAACTTATCGCTGTGCACATAATTGCTTTATTGAAAAACTTGATGCAATTTAACAAGGTTTTCGAATACGTCATGAAACGGTATCAATAAAAATAAGCAAAATTACGTTTCCTGTAAAATACATTATCTGTTGGAAATACTATTGTATATATGGGGTAATAATCAGTTGGATTTAACACTCATAATATCGGATTGATGATTAATCAATGACACATTGCACCTTTTTTTATTTACCAATTAAACCACTCATTTTATCTTATGAAATTCGGCTCAATAATATATAATGCGTCTGTTATATTTGGTGATTTTAATTGGTAAATAAAAAGAAAACCGTTCACAATTTCATGTAATGATTTTTTTTTTTTTGGGATTTACTACCTGAAAACTGGTTTTAAGGTAGCAAATCAGTATTGATGTTTGAAATGGTATAAATAATAGACAAAAAAAGGGCAATAACTATAGTTCGCATTGAAATTTCACAATTCACCCCTATCATATCTATCAATTCCCTTCTGTCTTCACAATTATTACGGGAAAATTCTCTTAGAAGTTGAGAAATCTTATTGGAAGTCTTTAAAACTCCTTAACCATATACGATCGAAGAGTCATCTATATAACAAACTGTCGAAACGAGTTTGTTCGCAAGAATAGTTGTGAGTTGTGTGATGAATTTAACATTTTTTTGTTTCGGGCAATATATTTTATTTTAATGTAATTAAGCGGTTTCAAATTTTATGTTAAAAAGATATGATTGGATGACCATTTAGATGGAAAGCGATGGAAAGTATTATTTATCATAAAGTCATTTCATAGTTATCATTTTTTTAAGTTTTTTAAAATTTTAAAAGAGATAACCATTTGAATTATCTTTCGGATCAGTCTAAGAACAAACAATTCCGAAAATAATACGAAACTCTTAACAAACATTCAGTGCATTTCAGAATTTTCATTAGTAATGGGAACAAAACATGAGGGTGGTCTATTCGAGCATCGAACACGCTATATTATTTTGTTGCTTGGGTGGTTTTGCCTAACTTCAATATTTTCTAATACAATTGCGCTGAATTTCACATTTATATGTATGACAAAGCCTGTTTCGAAAAATCAAACACAGAGCGATGTTGTCGTATGCTTTTACGTATTCCTGCAGTCTTTCATTTCTTTTTTCGATTTATCGTAAAGTTAATTTAATGAACTAATCAAATCTAGGAAATTTATTGAGACAGTATTTACTATGCTTGAAGAAGTATCACTTATTATTTTGAATTCCAATTTTTTTGTTCAAATCAATTCCATCGAATTGTGTATATTTTATGATTTTTACCATTCATAGCGACAAATAAAGCATTTGCCGTGCTAGATAATTAAAAATATAAATAAAATCTTTAGAGGCCATGAAAAAGCTTGGAATAGCCAAAATATCAATGACAAGTTTGCAGTCGAGAAAATCTAAATAGAAATTTCAATCTAAATAAAGATTTCATAAGAAAAATTTTTTCCTATTTATCTCTTTTTCAATCATAAATGCTACTTCAAAAAATAATGTTAGCATAATTATAAAGGTATATAAATAAAATTTTTTTAAATACACTTTACTTTGCCATATAACATTAAGTTGAAATAATTGTTGAAAAAGTGGACGTGAAGGATGTATGGAAAGAATCAAAAGTGTAAAATGTTCTGAAAGGATACAAAAATATCCTATGATATTTTACAAATTAAATAGATATAATTCAAATGATGATGATTATGCAGGATTCCGGCTATTTCACAGGAGAGCTTAACTATGAACAGGGAGAAAAATCGGCATTGCTTTGGGCTCTCGGTTTTGGTACCTTTATCGGAGTTTGGCCTTTCAATTATTTATATCTTCAATTTGGTGCACGATATGTTTTCTTCTTCGCTGGTTTCCTATCCGCTTTTTCCACATTGGTCATACCTCTTACAGCTTATATGGGCCTTGTATGGTTTATTGGCGCTAGAGTCCTTCAGGTTTATCCATTTTATATCTTATTACAATTGTTTTAAATATCATTAACATTGACCTGTTCGATCATTCATACTGGCATGCATCCCATGTAGTCATAACCGACGAATGTATATTGGCCATCATTGGTCATCATTTCTCAAGTTTTTGGCAAAAAAACGTCACTTCTAAATGTAGATGTTTATGTTTATCAATAGTTTGGTAATTTTACTATTGCTTTTTTTTAGTTAACAAGTATTAGTTGGAATTAATAATGTGCGATGTCATGTTGAAGTACAGGGTTGCACATAAAATTAGTAACATAAGATCGAAAGATTTTTGAAGTAAATTTGTTATTCATCAAATAATCGTTAAAATAAATGATATAAGCATGTTATCTTCCTGAATCTGTTTGGGGAGTAGCATATGGCGCTGATTTCGCAGCAATTGGCGTAATAACCGTACGTTGGGCATCATTGAAACAAAATGGCGTATTTATTGCTGTACTAACGAGCTTCAACAGTCTTTCGACACTTATCACAAATCCTATTTCTGGTTTAGTTCGTTTTACTTTCATTCTGTGATATTTCCAATTTCAACATAGTAAAAACGGAATTTATCGCATCAAAATTTTCATTAAAATTTGTTTTAAAATTTTACAATAATTAAGCTTTGTGAATCATCGCTTGGTTGGCCAGCTGTATATTATGTGCATGCAGCATTTGGCATATTTATATTCACCGTTTGGATATTATTTTATCGGGATGAACCAGAAATGCACAAAAATGTTTCAGGTTAATTAAAAAACCCTTTCAATTTATTTTACCCATACATTTTTTTCATCATTAAATGATTTTTATCCATAAGTATATATGCTTAAAAGAAACCATTCTTGATACTTTGCTGAACATTATGGATTCACAAAATTATATTCTTTAGGCATTGAATTAGAAAAGATTCGTCGAGAGAAATCTGAAGGGTACATCAGCAACGAGAAATATGTGCCGTATTGGGTAACAAATTTCCATTCATGCAGATTCTGAAATACCAAGATCTTATTACCGTTTGCGGTCAGTAGGCCTGGCGGAGAGATGGATAGAGAAGGACAGAGAGAGAAAAAAAGAGCAAATAATTGCTTAAACAATCTATTACTTTGCATTGAAGATGACAGTTGGGGAACGATCCAGGAGAAAAATCCGCGATTATTTGAATCTATTTCAGGCTATAATAAAAAATCCAGCAATACTAATTATTTGGCTCAATGCTTTTGTCGAAATTGTTTCTGCTTTATTTCTTCTATCCTATGGGCCTACTTATATCAAATATGTTTTGAATATCAGGTTTTTTTGTTTTTTTTTTTAAAGAGCATATGTTTAATAGAAAAGTTTTTATCGAAATTTATTTGCTTGGAATGAATTTCAAATATCTAAAATAAAATTATTCTTTCATGATCTTTCTAGTGTTGAAGGCACGGGATTCTTGGTTGCTCTCCAAGGATTATCTTTTCTACCGTTTCGAATTGCTGCTGGCTTCATGAGTGATCAGATCAAGTATGCTACCTAATTGTATTAAATTCAATGCACAATCTAACTTTCCATCTCACACTAATTTCATTAAAGATAAATTTACGGAGTCAGCTTGATTTTTTTTATTCTTGATTACTCATTAATTTTCAGATGCATGAACGAGTATCAGAAAATGATTTTCTTCAATACGCTTTCATTAGTCGGAGCTGGTATATTTTATTGTATAGTCGGCTTCATCCCACCTGAAAAGACTTCATTATCCGTATTTGCTATTGCAGTAACTCATGCTGTTATGGCATTTAATGTTGGCGGATTCTATAAATGTGGTACTTTCGTGGCTCGGTAAGCCAGTAAAACTATTTTCATTTAAATTATTTTAAATCTGACAAAAAAGGAATTTCAGCAAACAAAAACGTATGCTCCTTTTCCTGTCTCCAAAAATCATATGAATTTCGCAAATGAGATTTGGAGTGAATGTTGCCTAAGCTATTAGCTGCACCAAATTCGAAACACATAAGTGACATTAACAGAAAGCAGATTGTAAAAAAGCCGAAAAGGTGTTGCTACTGGTCGATGAAAATTAAATGATGTAAATCCCCACGCAATTCGACCAATAGGTCTGCTGGTGCTAAAAACTTTTTCCCGAAGGTTGATGATAAGCCAAATCCGGCTTTCATTTGTGATGTCACGAAGTGATAATTATTGTTCCAACTGATTGAGTAGTTATAATAGTGCTCGGTACTTGATTGAATTTTGATTAATTTCAGACAACACAGCCATTTCGTGATCTCAAATATACAATTCATCAAATGTGTTGCGTTGTTTATATCACCACTACTGGTTGCAATATTTGTTACCGACGATTCAGTACAGGTAAATTAGAGTTACTCCATGTTCTTCTCTATTATCCGGACACTGCCTGATATCCATTAAACTATTTCCAGTGCCAAAATATGGTTCTGCTATACCAGATGATACCTTACGTTAGGTTTCTACACCAAACATGTTTTTGAGCACAATATTATTGTAAACAAGTGATCATATTTCCATGTTAAACATTTTATGTTCTCATCAAATGAAAACAAACTATCCCAGTTATCCTAGCCTTGGATCGATTAAACGGAAAGTTTGATGATTAATCTCATAAGCCTTTCCCGAGATCTGAAGTATGGGCGTGTTTGAATGTCATCAGTGGATGATATCTACACAAAAAACGACCGAAGAGATCCTAACAACTATGATTATTAAGTATACTTTTTTATTTTCAGGAACAGTGGCGAATTATTTTCATAATTCTAGCCGTATCATTATTCGTAGCGAATTTCGCATTCTGTTTGATAGCAACCGATCAACCAGCTAAATTTACAACACTTCATCCAGATAAAAAAAGACATGATCTTGGAACTGCTTCAATTTCATGATGATAAATAATTGATCCGAGAAGTATTCGTTTCTAACGTCCTGTCGTACCAAAAGTGATGTTAATCGCATCCATTTGTTTCATCCATACAAGATTTTATTAAAGTATCATGTGAAATTGCAGCCGCTTTCGGAGCAGAGGATAGCAAAAGTCAGTTCCTCTCCCTCACTAGAACTGCCTGTTACACTTTTCACGGATTCCACAGATCCCTGAATTGCACATTCGAATAAAGCCTGGTACGGATAATTTGAAAAGATAAGACATGGATTGTGATAAAAACAGGAATAGAGAACAGTTCCCCACTTCACGCGTATACCCGTTTTTAGGTCACGCACTATCTTCTTTTACTATTGGAGTATTCCGCTGTTATAATCTTGTTTACGATAGTTATGGTCTTGCGATGATTTTCTACCCTTCGTAATCTCCTACCTTCACACGTAGACCTGAACAGCAGTTGTTCTATTATTGGGATGGCATGTGTATTGCTGTAGGATATATAATATTATTTGGTAGTATTTTATGACTCATTGGGGAGTGGTACTACTAGGAATGACCGGATAGTTCGGTTGTTTCAGTCCGGTGTGTGGAAATCAACAAACATAGTAAGACAGTTCAGGATTATTTGTCTATTAACCGCATGGCTCAAAAAATATAGTTTATCATAAAACGGATGCTTCGAAATTCATTTTCGATCGGTTCACATAGTTTGCATGATGCACTAATTTAGTGGAAGGATAAAAAAAGATGTACAAAAAATAACTATTATTATGCGTCATATAATCAGCCATAGACCTGTTTCAAAGAGCAATTGCATTTATTATCCTCATAAAGTCTTTATGAGATATTTGTCAAGTTTTTCCTGGTAGGAGTAGGTATTAGGAGGGTATGTTAGCACATATTTTTTATAGTTTCAAGCAAACAGATGGGCACATAGCCCTTATTCTGGCACCGGTAACTCTGATAGTCATTAATGTAAATTGAGTAGTTTGGATGGCTACCCTAGTAAAATTCTTCCATGTAATGTTTGCCAGAGTCTATTGGATGTCATCCAGAATAGGGTTATATGTTTCACGTAGATAAGAAACTAGTTAAAAATATGAAATTTTAAATTCTTAAAGGAGAGTGAAGGTATGGGTGATGAGGAAGAAATTACACTCAGAATCTAAAGAAATATCAGATGGGTGAGTTGAGATTAGAAATAATAAGTTTAGTTCTGGCAGCTATGGTTTATTTCTGTTTTCCATTTAGCTATTTTGCTGAAGTCTACCAGGCTTCGTATCATGTAGACATATTTAGCGTTGATCTGGAGATGGGTATATCATACCTATCATATCTTAAGGTTAATATGTTTTCAAATGAAATTAGCATATTTATTTACAGGTGATGAGCGACTACAACGGCCAAATAATGGCTCAGCAATACACGGTAGACGTGAGCCATTCACCAGCCGGCATGCATCGAATTCATTCGTCACCTCAACAACCGGTCTGTGACATTTTCTTACGCTTTCCTATGAATCTAATCTGGTCACCTTATGAAATATGATGTGAAATGGTTTAGGTATGGTCAGAAGACCGTATGGTAGGTTATATATTCGAGATGTTGAAAGTATTCCGTGTGGTTGTGTATTATATCTTTAGTTTTATTCACCATTGGAATCTCTCCGGAATGGTTGGATAATCCATTTATAAATTTGTAAGACTGCTATTGTCAG